CACACACACACACACACACACACACACACACACACACACACACACACCATTCAATAAATAAAGGTAATCATTTACAGAAGTAGGTAGAAGTATTGTGTTTTTATTGTGATATGACAGTTTGTAATCTATATTACAGTGTGTCATGAATGGTGATGGGTGGGGGCAACGATGGGTGGGATTGGTTTTAGGGAAGGAATACCAGCACCTTATCCCCACCATTTCAAGCACTGGGTATACCGAAAGTATAAACTGTTCATGTATACTTTTGAAGGTCTTTTTGTTTCTTTGTGCAGTTACCTGAAAAGTGTGGGTACAAGTTGTCACTGGGCTGGAAGGAGGAGCTCTTAACTACAGAAAACAAACATAAAAACATAAGTCTCAAATAAATAAACTATATGAAACCCCCTTAAAGGATTTGCTTTAATTTTTTTCAAATACCTTCAGGTGCAGCACCACACTGTATCCTGCAACAGAAACAAAAAGTAAACACTGATAATAACCAAGTATTTTTTTAATCCGTGGTTATGGTTGGAGAACCAGATGAAGCAGAGACTTACGAGGATCTGCGGCTCATGTTTTTGGCCCAGCTGTTCCATGCTGAATGAGTGGGGCTCCACATATCCTAAGGACCAGTTCAACAATAATGTGACTGATGTAACTGACACAAGGCATACTTTCTATTTTAGTACCGGTGATACTTTTGTTGTCACCACTGTAAAGTCACAAAACGTGGTCAAGATTTACCTGAGAAGAAGACATTTGTTTCTGCATCGAATCTGTGGAATCATAACCTGAAACAATATTTATATTATTCGTCATTAGAACTTCAAAATTAACACTGCTCCTTTAAAACAATGTGCAAAACAGCCCAACAGAAGTACTGTATAAAGTACCTTAAAGTGATAGTACAAGTATCAAAATTGTAAAATATACAGTATAAAATTACTTTGGTAAAAGTTAAAGTCTCATCTAAGTTTATTGCTTGTGTAAAAGTTTTAAAGTATCTGATATTTTTTGTACTTAAGTATCAAAGAAAATTTCTGACATAAAATGTACTTAAGTATTAAAAGTAAAAGTACTGAGTAAAAGTGAGCAGTTAGGCTTTCCAAAGTGATGTTTATTGGGACTGGAGGTGATGTTCCTAAAACATATTTCTAAAGCCCATAATGACTATAATGTTATTTTAAAATATTAATATTTAAAATTTTAGCACAGAGTAGTCTACCTGTTACAGCTTCATACATATCTCTGACACGTTCATCTTCAAGGCTACACATCTGATTTGTCCTGCTGGAGTGTGATGTGATTTGTGTCTTACAGTTGTGATGGATCGTACAAACCAATAGGGTGTTAGAATGGTATATATTTATACTTCTCATCCAGCCACAGTTAAATTCAGTCTATCCGGGAGGCACCACATATATCTGGATAGTTTTTTTTAAACAATAACAAGCCTAGATTGAAAAACAAGTCAATACAAAATAGAAGCAACAACTTCCTACTCCTTTACATTTTTCTTTAAATGTAAGTAGAAGTAAAATGTTGGTTGAAAAATAATTTAGATAGCCATAATTTCTACTTAAGTAATATAACAAAATATTTGTACTTCGTTACTTTACACCTCCCCTAACAGACCACCTAACATTTGACTTCTCTGCTCTCTTGATGACCAAGGGTTTTTTTATCTGTGAGTCCTTACTGAGCTGACTGAGGCTGGTTGAAGCTGACCAACATGAAGCTTCTGCGAAACACCTTCGTCGTTTTTTCCACGAGGCATCAGACAGGTTGGACTGCATCACCATCTATTCTCCAGAACAGAAAAATATATTGAGAAATATAACGATATGCTTTTTGCCACAAATGTTTTGTTTTACATTACCATATCGGTAGTACACTCCTTTATCTTCACCATCTTCTTGTTGTGGCTTTTGCCTCTGCTGTCCAAACTTGAGGTGAAGTCAGAGGACTTGGTCCATTCTGCAGAAACAAAGAAACAAGCCATCTATTGAAGAACGCAGATGCATATAAAAGTACACAAAAAGGACAGGGATTTGTATATGAAATACTTTTGATAAGCTAATATCTTGCCTTCTTTTTTTTATTCATGAGGAATTTGATTTGATGCTTGGCGCAAAAGAAAAAAATAAAGAAATTGATAGTAAAAAATAGCAGCACAGGATAATGTATGTAATACAACATGATACCTTGTCTTCTGCTGCATTGCAGAGAGGTATCATCCCTGAAGCCCCTCTTGCCGTATAAACAGTCTTTGTTCATTGGTTCATCAAGAGATGGAAACGAATCCCTCTTTGGACTGAGGGGCGCTCCAAAGGTCATGTTCTCCATGCTGGAAGACAATGAGCGGCAGAAGCCAAAAGGACGATCTCTGGGCATAAACGCCCACCTGGGGGATAACGCGGGTCTTCTCCAATGGCTCCAATGTCTGGACTGACAACTTGGTTGGACATCATCCTGAGAAAAAGAAGTATTTATCAAAATACGACACAAGTTAGGATCAGACAGAAAACAAAAACACTGCCGATAGCTCCACACACTTCTGTATTAGAAATCTGTTTCTGTGACATCTCCTTTTCATTCTCTTCCTTTTCGGCCTCCTCTTCTTCTCCTTCCTCCACGGAAGATTCTTCTCGACTTGGGTACAGATATGGATCACAGGTCCAGGGTCTGTGTAGAAACCCAAATCCTCTGGGAGAAAGAGGAGACCCGCAGCGGGATGACTCACAGGACTCAGAGGGCATCTGAGTCCTTGCAGTGGGGTTATGAGCATCGACGCCAGAAAACGAAGGAAAAAATGCGTGAGATGCAAATCTGGAGCCTCCCAACCTGTGCTCACTGGGATGTTCGTGAGCAGAACTCTGGGAATCATAAGAAAACGTGTTCAGTCAGCAATTTTTAATTCAACTATTGAGATCACAATGGGGCACAGATGTATTTAGCAGTTTTCCTTCCTATGTTTTATTTAGATTAATGCCTCAATAGTTGTTAGAAATATGCAGATTTTTGTTGAAGAAAAAAAAAGCACCTCTTTTACAGTTTCCTGTCCAGCTTCAGATGATCCAAGTTTTTCTTCCTTGTCTCCTCTCACTCCTCTGCTTCCTGTCAGAGCAGAGCACTTCAGTAACGAAGGTGGAGTACTTTTACAAGTTTTGGCCGTGACTCGCTGCAAGTTAGACCCATCAGAGTCCGTCCCGCTTCTGTGGAGGAGGGTCCAGCTATGAGGGAGGGCGCGATGCGACGCCGCCACGCGCCGACACTGAGCCAGACGTGCCTCTTCCTGGTACAGGCTGTCTGAGGTAGAGAGCAGAGTCAGGGTGTCCACAGCCAGCGCAGACAGGTCCTGGAGTTGACCCAGCTGAGAGTCTAACTCGGACAGGCTGTGTTGAATAAAGTTGACCTTTTCTGAGACCTCTCCCACCATCGCACACATCTCCTCTGCCCTAGTGGAAAAAATAAATAAATAAATAAAAAACATTATTTACTGCTGAAAAGTACTTTTTTTCCTTTTAAATCGATGGAATAAATGTGCAACAAACATTTTTAAATGAGCCACAGGACATCTAATTATTTGACATTTAACAAAGTTCTGTGTCGCACGTAAAAAAAACAGTCATGTCAAACAAACATCGAGAAAAGACAAAACAACATGCGTTAGTAGGACAGGTGACATAGTCTTGATACTATAGTACTGTAAATAAAAATGCAGAAAAACAGCTGATTCACTTCCAAATCTCTGACTCCTATCCGGCTCACAACAGCAGCTCTGTGAGTCAAAAACACCTTGGGTCTAATTAGAACCAAATCAATAACAATCCCTCTCTAGCAGCCCAGTGTCCCAGGCTGACCTAAGGGAGACAATGCACTAATGAATCATGACGAATCGACCTCTTAAACCTGTACATCTGACTTCCATGTCACACTCCTGGAGGTGGTCTCTTTTTCGTCAGATATTAGAATATAAGCAAATTTGTTCATACAGACAGAAAGCTCGAATATTGATAAGACACACTGACTCTGTCCCTTTGTATAAAATATATGGCTGCGCAAAGTGTAAAATACAAGACTGGATCTAAATTCAATTAATCAGTCACAACATTTTCTTCAGTACTCTTAGTTTAATATACAGGGTAAGTCAAAAGGTGCAGGACACTATTTTATTTCAGAAAGAAAAGGGGAAAGGACATATTTGAATACCCCCGCAAGCAATGCGAGAGAGGGCCTATCTTAGAACATGGCTGCCATCTTGAAAACTGCCATGTTGGATCAAGGACAAGTTTTCAAAAAAAATAGGCCCCCTCACCCCTTGCTTGCTGGGATATATGTACTGATATGTCATTTTCCCTTTTCTTATTGAAATAAAAGGGTGTCCTTTTGACTCACCTTGTATGGAGTTAAATAAAAAGATCTCCAGAATGAATAATATTTTTATTAACTTGGTTTATTTTTGTTCTTTTTGGGTTCAAATGACATTTCAACAATTATAGAAAGACCTGAAACCTTTCAGGCTTTGTTATTTATTTTGTTCATAATGAGGGGAAGCATAAACAAACAGCCATTCTGAATGTTAAATTGGAAAAGAAATGTATTGCTTTCAAAGGTTTTCATAGGATTTTGCTCCTTCACCGCTGTGTAAAATCTGTCCCGATACCTTCATTCAGACCAAAAAATTAAGGTAAGTCTTCAGATTTCCACATTATTTTTCATGGCTTCAATAAATGAGCTACCAGTATTTTCTGGCTATTAATAAACCAAACAAAACAAAACAAAAAGGAAGTGAACGAGTGTGATTTTGCAGTGCTCGATGCAGAATGCAAAAAAATCAAGCCAACCTCTCAGCTGTGGCTCTGATTCTGTTCAACTGACTGCTGTGGACGTCTTCATTCTTCTCGTGAAAGTAGACCTCCACACATTTCTCCTCAAATTCGTACAACTTCTTCCTATCCTCGTGGCCTAGGTAGAGCTCTGGTGGAATTCAGAAGCAGCAACATGAAAAAAGTTTGTTAGATATCTTTCACAACATTTACACTGTGCTACTCACTGAGGCCAGAGCCCGTCTCTTCCCTCTCGGCATCTTGTCTGAATCTTCCGACGATCCCTCCCACAGCGAGAGCCATGTGACTGAAAAGAATCAGGGGAGGGGGCAGCCATGGTCTTTCCTGGTAGGTCATTATGTAGCGATAGCGGTTGTACCTCCACAGCTTGTTAGACGTTGATGCCATGTCAAAGTAGATGTTGCTATCAAGAAGAAGACAACATTAGTTTATACAGCGCTCAGTTTGCCAAACAAAGGTTTGTATTTTAATATGAAACAGGCTCACTTGAAAAATGCAATGAGAACGTTGACCATGATGATGTATTGGAAGAACATATAGACGGCCTGAAGGAACGGTGTGATAAAAGACGCAGGAGGACACGGAGCTTCTTCGGCACACGCTGTTACGCACAAATGCACAGCAAAGAATTATAAAAAGGTTGGTTTTTAGATTGTCATATCAAACTGAAGTATTTGTTTTACTATTGAAGCTCTGTGCAGATGTTTAAGCACAATGAATATTAAGATTCACATTGATCACATAAGACCAACAGAGGAGAGCAATTATTTAAACAAATAATTAATTAGTCAATTAAAATTAATTAATTAATTAATTAATTAATTCTGTGCAGGGACAAAGACCACAGAGTTCTTCAGCTTGTTCTGTAGTTTGAGATAAGAAGATTAAACTGGGATTTGGGGAGTTTAAATAAAACAAAACAATTTGTACATACAGTATTCTACAGTAAAATGTGAGACCATATTTTTACGTAAATAAAACTTTCCTTCATTAATCATGAAAGACCACAAAATACATTTTCCAAAATAACTGATGAAAAATAAAGACAATGCTGCAAAAAGCAACTTCTCTATGAAAAAGCTATGGGACATTAAAGGAGCTGTGAATTAAAGAAAACCTGCAAACCACAATAAACAAATATATATAGATATAAATATATATAGATATTGTAAAAAAAAAGAAATAAAAAAAGTAAAGATAATGATAAAAAGTATCTTAAAAATGTGAAATTTTTACCATCTATCTCTCCTGCATAGACCTCTCCGAAGATCATCCAGTAAGGCTGGAAGACGATATCTCGAGCTAGGCTCCACGATGGCTCCTCGTCAGGTGACAAGATGGCTTTTCTGGACACGCCAAAGCTGAGCAACACGACGGCCATCATCACCACGATGAAGAACATGTTACTGGTCTGAGCACACAGAGGACAGAGGTGCGACTGATTTCTTCACTACTTTCTTCAAGGTGAAGCGAGCAGAGTCTCTACTCACCATCTTAGTGATCATAGTGAGGTACGGACCTGCGTGCTGATTGACAGCCAGCAGATCCATCACCCTGACAAACCAGAAGATGGTGTCCAGGCAGTAAATGATGCGTCCTGTGGTTCGGTAGGGATCGGCGAACCCACGCATCGAAAGTCCGAACAGGAAGAGTGTGATGGCGATAAAGTCTGATATGTTCCAGTACTCTGAGAACCAAATCTTCAGCTTCTGGCTCAGTTTCCTTGGCTCTGACATTAATACCTAATAAGGAAGTGTAGCTTTATACACAGCATTCAAATTTATACAACCATCAAACTTATATGTCAATTCACCACAATAACTAAAGAATGTGGAAAGAATAAAAAAGAAAGGATGCATCTCTGTAGAATGACTCACCTCTCTGGTTTTCTCAAGTGCTGTGGATGCAATGTAAACAATGACCAACCACTCCTGAACACTGGGTTGATCTTCCATCTTCACCAAGACAACATAAGAGAACAACATCAAAAAAGCCAAGTAGGACATCTAAAATGGAAAAACAGAAACGTAAACCTTAAATAAAACTTATTAATAATTAACTTATTACACCATTTTTAACAAGCCACATACAGTGTGAAACCAGAACTTGACAACAGGAGCAGTGTAAAAGTCATAAACTCTAGTGATACAGGACAGCCACCACGCAGACACAGAGGACACGGTTTCTGAAACAGAACCACCACTTTTATCCCGGAAAGAGAAACCTCGCTCTGCATCCGGAAAGTCCTGAGACATGAAAAAGACCAGACAATAAATCAGAAGCACAGACGTGAGAAGTGCAACACAAAAGCTACTAGAAAACTAACTTCCAGATTTAAGACAAAAAGCATGGGCAAGTGCATCACCACTGGCACTTTACCGTGTGGCTGGGGGCCTCGGAGGCTGGTTGAGATTTAACAGTCTCATGTCCAAACAGCGTGGCCTCGTGGCTCTGGGGTACGTGGCACATTTCAGCTTTGCTTTTAAACTCCAGCAGCAAGATGGCAGGAGGCAGGAGGAGGCTCAAAATGATCTGCATTATTAACAAAAAACAAATAATATTAATAAACCAATGACTTTTAATTAAAACTGAGTCAGATTCATAGTGTTAGCCGCCCTACTGTGCATCCATGGCTATTTATTAGGTTTTGCTTGGCCAATTTCTGAAAATAAAGGCCAATTTTTATGCACAACTTGCAAAACCTGTATTCTAGGCCATACACAAAAGCTGGTTGTTTATCTCACACTTTGTTACAGCTGGTTGAGTTTTCCCTTTTCTAGAGTTCTGACTTAAATAAATATACAATTATCAGAACCCAAGTGAGTGAAGTGAGTGACTGAAAGTGAAGCTATACTTGTTAAATATGGTTAAAAGAAATTAAGCAAGGGGGTTTTGTCTCTTAGAGGGTACTTTCTAAAATACATTATTATACATGAAAATCCCTCAAACTGGACTCAAATATCACCATTCAGCTCATTTCTTTCAAAAGATTTAAGGGTCACATGCACTTGAACCTCTCTAGTGTGCACTTGATCTCCAGCTGGGCTTACTGGTGCACCCCCTTATTTTACATTTCAAACATTCTGGTCATATATTTAATCCTTGTGTTAGGGGTACAACAAGCACTGAGGCTGGCAATATTTACAACCTGTGTTGCATCATCATAGTTCTAAGACTTTTCCAACATAATTTAAATGAATTAGCCATGTAAATGTTTCTATCAGATTTACCTTCAAAAAGGAGTTTTTTCTCATGTTGAGTGGACCAGTCCAGAGATCTGTGAGCAGAGTCTGAGTGCAGGAGTGTGAGACAAACGGTCGGTGGCACGAGGAGACGGCCAGCTGCAGACAAGTGAAGTGGCTCCATGCTTCCATCTCAGAGGTTAGCAGTTTCATGGCCATTTGCTCGTTCTGCCGAAACGCACAATCCAACACATCCACTGCCAGCTGACCAAACTCCCTGACATAAACACACAGAGAGAAAAGAAAAAAATCAGGTTTTGAACCAGAAAAAAATACATTAAATACATTTTTTTAAATTATAAACATTACAACATAAAACATCTGAAACTCACAAAAAACATTTGCTTTATGTCATATTTGTGGGTTTTACATGCTTGGACAGAGTTGTGATATTCTAGTAGAATTTTCTCAAATTATTCTGGAGGAGCAGGTCCCTGGCTCCCTTTAGGACCTCTTTGCCATCAGCAAATGTCAGCAGGTATGTTGACAATAATGCTCATTCAGGCATGATGCTATAAGTAAATCATTGTTTGGGATTATGGGATGTGCTTTGATCTGTTTACTCACAGTGAAAAAGCCTTGAATCTCTCTGCCATGTTGTCATCCATGTTGCTCTGGCGCGCCTCAAAGGCCATGGAGCGGTAGAGCTTACAGGCCACAACAGCCCGTGCCAAAGCTTCCTCTCCGTGTTGCCACAAGAAGAGCGCCATCTGCTGACGTTGTTGAAGAACCGCCCACACGAACACGTCATTGAAGTTGAACGGACACGGCAGCAGAGCACCCCCAAAGTCTGGACTCAATGCCATCTTGTGACTGTTCACAGGTGGCACACCTTGCTCCTGAATGGAATGAAAAAATAAGGCATACAAATGTAAAATTGAGACAAATTTGCAAATAACACAGTTTATACATTGAAATAAAATGTTCTCTGTTTTCAACAGGAATAAAAATTAAATAAATCAGTTTCATAAGGGTAAGAAAGTTTCTCAAAAACCACTGCATTTAATGAATTTACTAAATTTGTACTGATTTCGAAGCATATGCTAGAAACATACGTTCTAAATACACATTTATGTATTTATTTTAATCCACCTTGGATTTATAGGGCTGAGCTGTTCTAAAAAAATGTAGATCTTGGAGACTCCTGTTCTTCGTGCTCAGTCCTCGTCTTTGTTTGGAAAAATAGCCAGAGCTGTCCCACCGACCCTCCTACAAACAAAAACATAAAAATACAAGAATTTAAGAAAAAATAATTCACATCTAAACATTTTAAAGGATGTCAAAAAAGTGAAAAACCTTTGTTTTAAAGTGTTTCCGCTCACTTTGTTCTGCAGGCGGCTGTAGGCAGCTCTAAAGTTTTTCTGCGTGTAGGTGCTTTGATATGCTCCACCTATGAGGTATTCAATCACTGTACCCATGTCGATGAGCGAAACACGATATCCAAGGGGAAGAGAAGTCTGCACACACATTCAGTAAATATAGCTGCTACAAAATAAGACATATGTAGCCTGTAAGTCATGCTTATAATGACAAAGTTATCGAGCATCCTTCTATCCATCCATCTTACCCATCGCTCTACCAATCCATCTATCTACTCATCCATCCATCCATCCATCCATCCATCCATCCGATCACTCTCACACTGCAGGTTTAGTTGTGGTTCCTAGAGTTCCTAAAAGCATAATGGGAGGCAGAGCTTTCCGTTTTCAAGCTCCTCTCGTTATTTTTTTTCTTTTTTAACCACTTCAGTAGAAAGCAGTATTAAATATCTGAATATTAGTATCTTAGCTTCATCATCAGTGTTTTTGTTGTTGTTGTTGTTGTTGTTTACATAGACAAGAAAGAAGACCTCTCTTGTTATTGACCTTTATTAAATCAGGGAAATCCCACCGAGATCACAGATCTTTGAAAAGGAGGCCTGGGCCTGGAGGCTACCTACTGTGCATGTTTTTTGGTCTGTGGAAGGAAACCGGAGAACGTGGAGAAAACCCACACAAGCACAAGGAATATGTGCAAACTCTGTACAGAAAGAACCAATGTCCAAATTGGAAATCGAACCCAGGACCTTCTTGCTGTGAGGCAACAGAGCAAACCAATGATCCATTGTGCTGCCACACCAACTTCCAGTTTCTGTCCGTGAGGCTGACACTCTGTCTATTTTTAAGGCTAGACTTAGAACTTTCCTTAATGTTTGTTAACTGGAATTTTATATAGTATGTGAATGTTTTGTAACGTGACCTGAAATTACCGTTTTGTTGGCTGGTGCTATATAAATAAACTGAATTGAGTTAAATTTGCTCATAAAATGCGAAACAAACTCACCTGTTTTGCATCTTCGACAAGGTGGTGCAAAAACCGCTGAGTCTGACCCTGGTGCTGGAGGAAGATATTTGTGTTATTCACACAAAAAAATGAATTTAAAATAATAATAATAACAACAACAACAACAACAACAACAATAATAATAATAATTCAAAATGAAAGACAAAACAGATTAACTGCACAGACAGCAGAAGCTCTGTGGACATTAACATGCTTCTGGAAGGGACTTAAAATCTGAGTGATGTGAATTATTCAGACTATAAGACATAAAGGCAGAGTGGAGAAAACAGAGGATGTATTTTTTACAAAGAGAGTTTGGATTTCAAAAGCGTACAAAAAAAAATCAACAACTGGGAAAATGTTTTGGATGCAACTGACCACGAAACAAACCAAGACTTGATGCAAAACACTTACAGATCATCATCTTTGATTTCAATCAAAGCTGATATCTTGAAATGTGTGCTTTAAGAAAAACAAGCAAAAAGACTGAATTCCCTCTTTTTTGTTTAGTGCTGAGGGACATATGGGAAAACAAAAGAAAAAAACAGCACAGCAAGACAAAAACTAGTACTGTGGGGTAGAAAAGATGCTTTAAAACAAAAGAATGTTGTGCTGATCATAAATAGAAAAATAAATCAAAGTTGCATTAAAGTTTAATATAATTACAGTGTTGTAGAGCTCCTCCAGGCGATCTACGGTGAGGAAGCGTCCCATTGTCATGCCGTTATCAATCAGCAATTTGACAAAACTGACACGGTCCATCACTAGAGAATCCAGCATGGCTTGTTCCAGGGAACCCACCTACAAAAGGACCATCATGGTGACTGCAGTCTAAATTATTATTATTAGTAAGAAATTACTGCACAGCTTGTCTCACCGGCCAGTGTTGCCCATACACCAGGATGTCTTTCTGTGCGATGTCAGCCCGGTCCCAAGCCAGAGCCACACTCAGCTGCTCTGCTGGACTCGCCTTGGTTCCTGTTTTTTGTTTATAAAAAAAAGACTAATAATATTAAACTAAATTACTCAATCGTTAGATTTCTTTTGTTAATAAAGTGGTAAACTCCAGTGGAAAAAGTCTATAATGACAACAAAAACTAAACAAAGAAGTACCCTTAAGAGTAGAAGTCAAAATGGCTGCATCTGGTGAAGTTTGGTCTTCTGACTCTGAGTCAAAGATGGTTATCTGTTGCTCAAAGAAAGGTTGAGTAGCACGCTTCTTTACTCACAACAAAAGTTACTCTCAGACAAGGTTTTTACTCACAGACTGTCTGTGGTCCATACACTGCTGGAGGAGGCTATAAAGATCAGTGGCTTCGCTCCTTTCAACTCCAAACACATCTCCAATTCTGACAAGGAAATCCTCCTTGATGTCAGCATCCAACTCCCTGAAAACAGAGATTCTATTCAAAGTCCAATTTTACAAGTTCAAATCCTGAACCTTAGAAGCATTTGTTCATTTTGATTATAGCTGGGGGGTCAATTTTTAACTAACTGCCTCAGTTTCTTCCTCCTCTACTACAATATTTGTGTTTTGTATTATTTTTTGTAACAATGCTTCTTGGCATTAGATCTTAGATATTGTTGGAAAGTCACATGCATTTGTGGGATGAGCAGCAGATCTGAGTATGTGGGTTGTGCACAAACTTGCCTCTTTTCTGCCAAACAGCTTATTTTTCTGTTGCAAAAAAAACATTCTACATACAACCACCTACCTGTCATTAGCAGTTTGCTTGTGTAAGAAGGCAAGCAGATCTGCAGCTTTGCCTGATCCCTCGAACACAAACACCGGCACGGGGGGCACGCTGCTAACATAGTCCAACACTGTGGAGACAATGGAAGGACCTCCCTCTACCACCACACACACCACAGGCACTCCTTGGTTCAGTCCTACCAAGAGGAAAGAGTGAAATAAGGTCATGGTGACAAACAAGAACACCCTTTTTCAGTTCTGAGGAGAAATGTATACATAATTTAGGACAGCGTGGGGGGGTGCTGTAATATGTTTCACTGTATTTTTACACTGACTGTAACATCAGCGCCATCATCTCCAGAGTGTCATTTACACTGACTCACGTGGATGTATTTTCTGCAGCTGAATGTGTTTTTCAAGTTTCCTCCTCAAGCCTTGCTGACAGCCGTGTTTTCCCAGCGTCCCGTCGTCCACCAGCAGGAAGTGGGAGTGGAAACCATTAAGACAGGCCCGTTTGCTTAAGGGGTTCCCCAGCGGCTGGTAGGGTCTGAACACCTGAACCCCAAGTCACACAGAGAAGCAGCCATCACTGTAACACACTGCACTGAGATGTGGCATGGAGACGTGTCATTTCAGGCTTCAATGGTAATAAATGCCAGTTTTAGTACGGACATCTCTGCCAATCAGGTCAACGTTGTTGTCAATCATTCCCCACGGTGTGATGCCAATTGTGTTTCTCTTCCTCAGGTTATGGCCTCCGAATACTTTTACTGCTTCACCTACGTGCTTAGACACACCTGGAGAGAATGTGAAAAACATATAAAATGCACAGAATATAGATTAAAAAACTAAACTGAATGAAGAACTGAAAAACACTTTTTCAACATCATAATATGCTTAAAGTGCTTGTGACATGAAATCTTTGTGATAAATATGAATGCATTTTTTTCCAAAGACTAGAGAGTTCCCCTTCTTAAAGAGTTCCCCTTTGATGTCACTTCCTGTTTCACTTTGGCTGAGAAAATTTCAAAAGAAAATATGCCAGTTACGTGACAAAATGGATAAAATACTGTGCATGATGCCAAGTTTCTTAAATACAGATATTTTCTTTGACATTTTGTAGTCTTCTTTTTGTATGCGTACCTGTGTTAATCCCATCTGTTAGTATCCATGCCCCTGTGCTGACAGCGGCGGTGATAAGCCCCTTGCTAAAGGCCTGCTTAACTTTCGGAGGTAAGATGAAGTTTTCTGAGCCTCCCTGGACCGTCAGCAGCAGCTTAGGTCTTTCCATCTGCCATTCCCTCAGCATCAGCTGGAGCAACGCCTCGGGCTTGGAATCCACAGCCACACGGACGAACTGGAAAAACATGGCACTGTTTGAGACCTCTCTGTGGACACTCTTTACCCACAAGTGCTGCTCATGTGATTGTTTTGTCACTACTGGAGATAGCATCTTTGCTGCTTACATCACAGCCAACCAAAGTGTGTACAAGCTTCAAAAGTTAGATGACTGCCTTCATTTTAAGGCAATCATCTCTACGAAGAAAAAGAAAAAGAATTATACACATCAGAATTTTTCCTTGTAAATAATTTAATTTTCCTCTGAACAAGTAACACACACGCAGTCAGTGAAGTCACAGACCTTGGCCCGGCAGACACGTGTGGCAGTGTCTTGAAAGTCAATGATCCCATAGGCATTGGTGGGACTGGCCTTGGTGTGAACCTCCATGGACCAGTTCTCTTCGGTGACATGTCCAGGGCCAGGATAAAGGGATATTGGAGAAACCGACTCCTGCCAGGAGTGTTCCCCCATCAGGCGACCACAGCAGCATCTAACCAACAGAAAAAAATCAACAGGTGGTCACAATTTAAAGTTACCAATTAACCTAATATGCATGTTTTTGACCTGTGGCAAGAAACCAGAGAACCTGGAGAAAACTCCACGCACACAAAGTCCACACAGAAACGCCGGGAGGTGAACCTTCTCACTGAGAAGCAGCAGCTCTAAGCACTAATAAGTGACATATTTTATGTTTTCATTTCAATATTTGACAAAAATATTCCAAAAGCAGATCGTAAAAACTGACTGCACTCAACAGCTTGTAGCAGTAACTTTATCAGATTCTGTCATCTGATTTCCTGAAACACCTGACTGCAAGTAGCTGCTGAACAATCTGTCGGCCCAGACGTTAAAATGCTTATTTTTCTACCAGCAGTAAATGATCCCTCATGGACTTTGAGAAACACATGAATTGTTACTATTTTTGTGATTTTAAGAGGGTGCTTCAGTATTACTGTGACTCTGATGAAAGTCAGACCACATTTTCTGGCTTAATAAAAGCAGAAATTTGCTGGCTTTACAAGTGTCTTCTAACAGCTTTATTTCCTTCTGTCATATTGGGACAAATTAAAGAGAATTTAAAGAGAAAACTATGAAAAAGCTATGGAAGCCCATTTCTGCCACCCTGATAAAAAATAAATAAAACTTCTATCTCATAATTATGATTTAGCTATCTCATAATTATGAGATAGCTAAATCATAATTATGAGATACTAAGTCAAAATTATGAGATACTATCTCATAATTATGAGATAGCTAAGTCATAATTATGAGATAGTTTCTCATAATAATGAGATAGCTAAGTCATAATTATGACTTAGTTATCTCATAATTATGACATACTATCTCATAATTATGACTTAGCTATCTCATAATTATGAGATACTATCTCAATTATGAGATAGCTAAGTCATAATTATGAGATAACATGGTATCTCATAATAATGAGATAGTTAAGTCATAATTATGAGATGGTATCTCATAATAATGAGATAGTTAAGTCATAATTATGAGATACCTAAGTCATAATTATGAGATACAAGTTTTATTTTTTTATCAGGGTGGCGGAAATGGGCTTCCATACAAACCTAACTGTCATGATGCTAAAATGTATGTTTTAAAACACTTCAAAACTACAACGTAATTTACAGGCACCCACCATGAGAAGAATGACCTTGGACTGAGTGAAGCACAAGTCCTCCCACGTTTCCTGTCTCGTTACCTCCTCTTCACCTTCCTCTGTCACCAGTTTTATCTACTGTATGTCTGCTTCATTGTCCTCATCATATGCTGAACCAAATTACTCACACGTCCCTTCTAATTATCTCTTACACTTTCTACAGTTTCAACTAAATAATTAGTTGGTTTTGAAAGTGAAGTGGCGTTACAACTAAGAAAATGTGTGAGTAAAAAAAAATAGGGGAATTTACACAATGTTAACAACATCATTAAACATTAAAAACTTCACGAGTAGGGCAGTTTGATGATAGAATAAAATACATGTATAAAAATTCACAAACAGTACCTGATCAGATTCTGGCATACTTGACAAACTGGAATACATCTGTAAAAAAACAAAACAGGAAATAACAAATGGTCAAATAATTCACACGATGCCTGTTCCTGGAAGAGAAGGAAAATAGTGCTGTTCTCAGAACAGTTTTATTTTCAGCCACTGCTAATAATGTTTCACTATAACAATGAAACAAAACAGCCTTCTAGGAATCATTAAAAAACAGAAAAACTTCCAGCAGTTTCTGGAAGATCATGCTGCTATCAGACCCTAATTTACCTGTGGAGGTCCCAAGAGGAAGGAATAAACTTCACACACTCCCTTTTGAAGAAGGTTTCTTCAATCCAAGACTTTCGGGACTAAAATAAAATAAAAAAAAAGAAACAACGTAAAATAAACAAACCCTGGAGCACATTAGCACTGACAAACACATCATTAACCAAAAACAGGCCTATTATAAAGACAAATGAGAATAATTTAGTGACCTTCTCAGTAAAGCTCATTGCAGTGCAGGCAGTGGTCCACATAGTAGATTTAAATTAGGCTAACGACAAGTCCCTCCCCATCAGAGAAACTTTAACTGCACTGAGCTGAAGTTAGCCTCAGAGCAACAAATTCCTCACGCTTTTTTTTCTCCATGTACTTGCTGTTTTTCTCAGCCAGACTGTAACAATAGCCTGACTAAGGAGAGCTCTGTTTGCAGGAAACATACAAATATCCCCTTCCGGAGACTCCCCTTCGACATGGTTAGAGAGTCTGACTCCCACTCAGACTCTAAACACTTCACAGCTTTCTGAAGCGTAACTGCTGAGGCTCACAGATTCTCTAGTAGACAATAAACCAACAGGAAGTAGATAATCATGTCCTGCAGCTTTGATTTTAAAACATTTATTTCAGTTATAGGTTTTCGTGGTCTGTGAGCATAATAAATGTAATTCAATTCAATTCAGTTTATTTCTATAGCGTCAAATCACAACAATTGTTGTCTCAGGGCACTGTACACAAAAATCATTAAATCTAAAGAAGCCAGCAGCTTGTGTTGAATCGAATCTAGATTGTTGTATGTAAATGTGTTTTGTTTTTTAATGAAATGAATAAAGTTAATTATAATAAATAGATCTTTGCAAAAACGTATTCGTTTCTTTGCCCAAGGAAACATCGTGTAATTTATTTTTTAATTCTCATATCAGCTTTTGTAATGCAAGATTTTTTGACTTACTCTGCATGCATTTTAGTATTTTTACTAAAAGTGCATCAAATATTTAGGGCAAGAAAGCAAAATAAATAAATAAATAAATTGTTTTTATTTTTTAATCTGTATTAGCCAAATGAAACAGAATTGGTTTTAGCTTCAAATTATATTTACTTTAAGATTAGTTGAGGAAAACTTTTTAAAACACACACAGGCAAGTGTAGAATCTTTGACATTTTTGTCTGTTGGAATCCAAACAGATTTGTTAGACACCAGACCAGAAGCCTGAAGATGAAGCCACAAAGGATGAGAGCCCCCTAGTGGCTGGCTATAGTTCAACTTTTAAAGGGGCGGTGTTGTGTATTTTCAAGGCACAAATTCTATATGATGGTAAAGCGACTATGCTACCATCAGTTGTTATGAAAACGCTGTTTATATCAAAAAATAAATTTGTCTTTGCATCACAGTCTATTTAAACACCTTGAAATTGGCCTCTCTCTCTTTAAGAACCTCACACCATTTCCAACACCAGCAAGTGTTTAGACAGCTCTACGTGGCTACCACAGGAGATTCAAAGATTTCCCACACATGCATGAATGAGTCAAAGTAACACTCTGGGTATGTTTTTGATGAATTAATGACATCATAACATCACATAAAGCTAAAAAAATGTATTTTTGAATAATAGCTCCCTTTTAAAGCTTACACCTCCATGTAAATATATTTTCCTGTCTACAAACATAACAAAAACTTCAGATAATTGTGTACAAGTGTTAATTTATGTAGCTCACCTGTTGCTGTTGTTTGTTCAAATAAGCATTTTTTATATGCTTATTTACTAGATTTTTTTAAGATAAAAGAAAAGTAGGCCTATCACGTTACACTGAAAATGACAATGTGACAGCCTGTCAGTGAGTTGGGAAGATATGAAAGTACAGCCCCTCAGTGTTGCCAAGTCAGGTGCCAAGTCCGCTAATTATAAGAGACTTTGGACTTTTTTTCTGACGTCACTTGTAAATTCCGTGAGTCGCAGGATGTGTTTTGTTGGGCTTATTTTTGAACATGTGTTGCTTATTTTGGGCTTGGCTTTCTTTCCGAATGAAACCCCTCTCCCAGGCCAGCTCCCCACGGTTAAGCAAACCACAAGGAGTGGTGGGTGTGGCCCTCCCATTCCCCAGTTATTGCTCCTGCCCGAGTTGACTCCGTACACCTCAAACACATGCCAGAGCCCAGAGTGACGGGGAAACAAGTAGGAGTAAGCCAGTAAGGTCTGGTACTGGGAGGAGAGGAGAGCGTCTGTCTGATGAAAAGCCATAATTCAGAAACAGTCACAGCTGCACTTTGTGTCAGAATAGATCAGTTAGTAATAGACAGTCTAAAATTTAACTTATGGTGCGTTCACACCAAACGCGATTTCAGCGTCAGGAGCATCAGGTTTACATGCAAAGTCTATAGTGGACGCGCTTCAAGCAGCGTCGGGAAGTGCTGCGGCGCCTCAAGCGCGATTAGAGCAGCGCGATTTGAACGATTTGAACGATCTGAGCGTTTGATGCGCTGAGGCGCAAATCGCTGAAGTTAGAAAATCTGAACTTTTGCAGCTCAACGCGCCGCATCAACCAATCAGAGAGACTCCACTGTGTGACGTAGTGACAKATTTCCTGACGGGACAGTTTACTGAAAGATGTCCACTAACCTGAAACAGATGGAGAGGAGCTCTTTAGCTGAAATCGAGTGCCTGCAGTCGGTGTCCTGACAGGAGATATCCTCACCAATGCGTGGCAGCAGCTCATCAGACTGGACTCGGGACAAAAATTGTCCTGAAAGCGAGCCGTGAGCCTCTACCGCAGCTCCTGGGTGATGAAACTCACCAAACTCAGAATGTCTCTGAATTATCTGGTGAAAATTAATTATGAATTAATTATCTGATGAACGTGACATGCTCTTGCTCTCTGTAAATAAAGCAAAGCCACTTCCTCGTCCGACATTAAACAGAGCCCGACAGAGGAGGGAGGGGCGGGGAGGCTCTTGCCGTGCAGCGCTTCAAGAGCTGTCCTGCGTCTGGCCTCAGAGTGCACAAGTGTCCAACTTGAAGCGTTGGATGCGATTTTGACACTGAAATCACGTTCGGTGTGAACGCAGCATTAATCTATTTGTATTTTTTCCCATTACAAATAATTTCTGAATTGTCTGAGCTGTGCTGGAGTCTCTGCTCTTCCCTCCCCTCGGTCCGGAGCACGAAGCGGCCAGCCTTCAAAACCTCCACCCCTATGTTTAATGTCTGCTTCTTACAAAATATCCCAGTTAAAAGCAAAGAGAGAGTGTTTAGCAGTACAGAATGTTTCTTTTTTATTATTCAATTACAATAACACAACACAGCTCGAAACAAAACTGCTTCAGAACCGGTTCAGAACTTATGACAGGAGACTTGATACAGCGGACGGGCGAGTCTGCTTCAGGGTATCTGCAGGTTTTAGCAAGGCAAATTTAAGACTTTTTAAAACCTTTTCAATACCACCTTGTGTGAAATTTAAGACTGAAAAAACTATAAATATCAGCGATCGTTGGGGAATTGTGCTGTATTATAACCAAGAATCACACGTGTGTCACTCAATGAAACACATTGAATACAGTATAAAGATATTCAGTGCTCTCTGGTTCACAGCTGTTTTGCACAAGTGCAGTTATTTGGTTGGAAACATTAAACAAAAATACATTTACTGAATACTTGGGCCTAATTGTGTCTTAATCTCCAGTTACCTTTATACACAAAGAGATCATGAAACTACCCATAAACTTATACTTTACCCTGCATCATCAAGACCAGCTATGCTCAGAAGGAAGTGAGGTGTTTTGTAACAACTTTGCTGTAGCTTACTATAAAGTAATTTATGTGTTTACAGAAAAATCTTTGCAAAGTATAAATTATTTTTCATATAATTTATTAATCTGACAGATTTCTCCCCTAAAATGTCTATTTAATTCGAAGAGAATACAGGATCATAATTCATGAAGTCATTGTACTATTTATGTTTCATATTTGATAATGTATCAATTATATTTATCACTGTAGTTACCTCTCATTTTAGTTTTAAATATATTAAAAGTTTGCCCATCCAAACAGACAAAACACCTTATTATTGCTAAAACATTTTGTAGGATTAACTTGTGCAGATACATATGATAAACTACAACCAGCTGAAACTGACCCACAGAGAGAACCTCGTGAATTTAAGGAAAATTCAATTTAAACAGAGACACATCTTTGCTGTAATCTGGGATCTGCAAATATTCATCTTTTAATGTAAAAAAGAAGAAAGCAGCTGCTGCCTCCAGTCTCACCATGAGAAACAGGCTGAGTGCCTGCAGGAGAGCTCTCTCTGTCTAACCCGGAGTTTGGTTTGTTTATTTATTTCAATCATGAATTGAAATATGAGTACAAAAC